ATAGCTTATAGTGTTAAATATGTATTGCGAAACTCTCCAAAGTTGTAGAAGATTCTCGAGAGTAAGAATCAACAATATATGTATATATGTGTAAATGCTTAAATGTAGTTCACTATTGTTAGGTAAAACTGAAATTTCTATAATGTCTCCACACGGCTATAAATATAACCAACGCGACGTGCCAAAGAGAGTATCTATTATTAGTTCGCTATATTCCGTGTGCTATAAACTTCGAAAGCTATAACTGTGATTGTTATAACGCTTATCAATCGGAAAACTTTAGATATTTTACCAGGAACCTTTACAGTGTTCGAACATCATAAATCGTTTAACTTCAGTGGATTCTCATTGGACATTAGTATTTTTACGAAAACATTACCTAACGTCACTGGTGAAAAAATCGGCTTGTGATCAGTGAAGGACAGGGCTAGCTAGCTCCCTACAAAGTAAACTGTATCTATATCAACTCGTAATCAACTCGCTCATCGTGAACTCTCGATAAGATATCAAGGAAGATCCAGACTAGAAAGAATAGGGTTATAATTTTTTATTGATAGGGCTTCCTTTATTTTTCGTCTATTAATGCTGACCTCTCTGCTGAGTATTTTTACCTGGGAATCAAAAGAATGTTTTTTTTTGTAGACATGTGTTCAAAAACATGGAGACTTTAAATGTTCCCGGAAACGAGTAGAAAGTTGGCTGTTAGTCTCACCAATATAACAGCTTTAGCAGTCTGTGCATTCAGTTGTATACACATTTCCTGAAGTATCATTATCCACATACTTTTTGGATAGCAGTTGATCTTGCTTTTTCCGGATAAAAATGTAAATTGTACTTTAAAGTCAATTTTATACTCTCTGACTGTTTTTTTAACCAAATTTCTTTCTGACAGTAGGATATTTGTTTGGGATGAATGGTAAAACACACGTGACAATTTGTGGCTTATTTTCAAACGAAGCAAGTACTATATTAACAATAGTGGGAAGGAAATTGTTCTGTACATAGAAACTAAATATAAGGTTTTTTATTTTCTTTTTTGAAACAATCGATGTTGGAACTTATGATTTTCTTTGTACAAATATCACCTTTTAATATACCTAGCTTTTGGCATTGTTCATGAAAGGAATTCCAAGGAAACGTTGTGACTAAAATAAACAAAATTTTTACTATATACAACCGATATAAACTTGTGTGAATTTTAAAAACATAGTTTTTTTTTCTAATATTTAATAAAGCTTCCTATGAGTGATATGTACACGTTATAAAATTTATCCGCCAAAATTACTGAGGTAGTATTTCAAAACTGTAAGACAATTGTCTTGTACTTAATTACATGTTTTAGGTAAACAGCAAATGAATCACACTTAATCCTGCCCTTAGACAGTCCTTGTGGGTGGAGCTCGTGTTGAATTCCTGTCTCAGTATATGTGTAGTATTCTGGCTAAGTCGTTAATTACTTTTTCAAGGTGTCTTATTAGACATCAAGTAGATTAGTTCTGGTTCGCCAGGTCTTCTGAAGTAAATTCAAGTGGAAATAAATCTATAGAAATATAATAGCACTGTCAGTTGTATGTTCATGTAACAACTTCGCAGGGTTTTGATGGATCCTCACCAAATTGTCATGGAGGGTTATTGGGTCCGTGGGGAGATACATACAATTTTTCAGTTTTACATTTTGCATTTTGCGGTTTTTACTATATATATAAAGAATAAAGTACCATATACACAACGTAGTCACAAGTAAATAGACACCACCTTTTCAGAAAAAATTAAATTTTTCAGTCATATTCACATGAATTGATTTATTTATAATTTAATTAATATCTAG